TCATTTAATTTAGTCAGGTTTCTGGAAGTGAGTCAGATGATGATTCAATTATTTTCAGCACAAACAGCCTCTGAAGTGCCATCATCAGTATTATCAACAGAAGTGCTCATAAACTGATGCCACTTGTTGTGGTTTAACCCCAGCCAGCAACTAAGCACCACTCCGCCCTGGTGGGATGGGGGAGAGAATCGGAAGAGTAAAAGTGAGAAAACTCATGGGTTGAGGTAAAGGCAGTTTAATAGGTAAAGCAAAAGCCGCACACACGAGCAGAGCAAAACAAGGAATTCATTCACTACTTCCCATTGTCAGGCAGGTGTTCAGCCATCTCCAGGAAAGCAGGGCTCCACCACACGTAACAGTTACTTGGGAAGACAAACGCCATCACTCCGAACGTCCCCCCCTTCCTTCTTCTTCCCCCAGCTTTATATGCTGAGCATGACGTCATATGGTGTGGAATATCCCTGTGGTCAGTTGGGGTCAGCTGTCCCGGCTGTGTCCCCTCCCAGCTTCTTGTGCACCCCCAGCCTGCTCGCTGGTGGGGTGGGGTGAGAAGCAGAAAAGGCCTTGACTCTGTGTAAGCACTGCTCAGCAATAGCTAAAACATCCCTGTGTTATCAACACTGTTTCCAGCACAAATCCAAAACATAGCCCCATACTAGCTACTATGAAGAAAATTAACTCTACCCCAGCCAAAACCAGCACACCACTGTTTTCCCACATCTCTTGGAAGTGATAATGCAGTTTGAAACTGTAATACCTTCAACCATGGCTATGACTGTAGCCCAGGTCTCTGACATACCATGAATCTATCAAAAGCCATTCCTGATGTCAACATGCCTTTTAATTGAGGGGAGGGCTTTCTGAAGCACAGTCTGTAGATGTGGATTGTGAGGATGTTATTGTATAAAGGCTTCTAAGAAAAATTTCAGAGATGGGAATGGTGGTAGCAGTGAAGTAAACTCAATTATTCATACTGTATTATGACTTAAAAGAAATTCAGTCTTTCCGAAAGTAGAACATGAGGAGAGTGAAAAAAGGGGTGGAAAAAGGACCTTTGTGATATAATCTGTCAAACTCACAGCTGGGAAGATTTGAAAGGATTGTGGGCTCCAAGTGAGTAAAATAAGAGACCTTTCAGAAAGTTCAAATAGCCTGGAAAACACCTTAAACGCTATTTAAACTTGCCTGTAAAAGAAACTAGGTTACTACAATGTGTGAATGTTTTTTCTAATGTACTTTAGCCTACATAGACATTTAAGCAAAATTCTTAAAACATTTTTGCCAGTTATTGGACATGTGGCTAGCAAAATTACTCAGTCACCCGGTTCTGAAATATCCAGTATATCTGCAAAGCATTTTGAGGGGATACAGTAGAGAGGAATCTTGGGTTAATTCACTGTGGGATTTCTTTTGAATGTTTCATGCGTTCTGACAATTTGGAGTATGTTTGTTTTGGCAGCAAGTTAATAAGGAAACAAAAACGGACAAAAGCTTTCAGATATGTTTGGCCTCAGCTCTATGAAACACAAATGTGTGATGCCGTGTAACGAGGAAGTGCCTAAATTGAAAGCAGTTGGCGTATGGGAGAACATCAGAGAGAGATGCTGTACATGCGTAGCATGGTCCTAACCTGGCATCGGTACCCCTGCGGGCACTTGTCAGAGATAAGGTTGGACTTCCAGTGGTGATGTTCTTATGATTGCAGGTCACATGAAGCTCCCAAGCTCTTTCACATGACCTGGTGTCCCAAAGGAAGCTTTAAATGACATTTTAACAAGTCTCACCACACTAGCCATAAACCCAAATCCTCACATAGCCAAAAGCCGGTGTCCTGTGTATCTTAAACAGTCAGGAGATTCGTTGGATTAGTTCACAGGCAGGAGGTGAGAGTAGATCACTAAAGGTGTCCTTAGCTCTGTAGCAGAATGGGGAAGATCTTCATCCACAGCCATGTCCTAGGTGGTCCACCAGCACCGACCCCAGCAGTTGCTCTTTTCTTCCATTTCAGGGACTCATATTATGGGGCAGTTCCTACTGCCAGAGCATCCCTGCTTCTGGTCAGCTGAAGTTTTGGGGTTTGAACTGCTAGCAAACCCTGTTCAGTTCAAAAGCTGCAGGTTGTCTGTTCCCAACTTATATATTAACAGATTCATTAGTAAGGTCAAGAACGACTTGCCAACAAGTCACTGAACTCTTTGGTGCCTGAGTTGCAACCCTCGCCTACTAATTAGTTGTAACAAACAATAGGGATAAACATGAGCTGTCTAATTTTAAGTATAAGAACACCAATCCACTGGACAGTAAAAGGGGAAAATGGTGTCACGTGTATGGTGAATAGCTGTGAGACAAAGCCATAAGTATCTGAGCCACAGTATTGCTGGAAAAATCTTTGAGAGAGGATCCTCTCTGGAGCACAATATGACCTGGATTATGCATCCTCAGCAGATCTCTCAGCTCAAAGGTAAATAGTAAACGATAAATTCCCACTGGCCTTGCCTTCTGCACCTGCAGCAGTTTCACATACTGAACCGTGCAAATGCAGGAGGGGTTGGCATGGGTTGGTTTGTCAAGTTTTGCATGTTCCTCTCAGTTTTGGCTGTGAATACAGACTCCCCCCCCCGCCCCCCTTTTTCAGTTTTTGCTGGATATTCCGGCTCCCCCCCCCGCCCCCCCCCCTTGTTGAATGCAGTGCTGGAGCTTTCGGTTCAAACAGACCTACATGGTTATATGAAAAAAGCCAACTCGCACTCAGCTTCATGTCAAACCACTCATTTTGCAAGCCAGGCCTGCTAGGAATTTGTCTCTGTTTAAGTGGCATTTCTCAAACTGTGGTTCATGGGTGGCCAAGGAAGGTAGATATATTCCAATGCCACGCAATTTTACCACAGCTCTGTGTACAGGCTGAGTCATGACGATTCGGTATAGAAACCTTTTTAGAAGAGGGTTTAAAAATATACTTTTATGGTTTCTCTAATAAAAGGTTTCTAAAAGAAGGTGTATTACCTTTAGCAGCCAAAGGCAATCAAGTTGTGGTTTTTATTTAAAAAAAAATCTAAAACAGAATATAGCATCAGTTAAATGTCTCCCCTCTTTGATGGCTAAAAATGCTATGAAATATTGACCAGCTCTTTGCTTGGTTGTGTGCTGGTTTGTTTCAACTGAAGCATGTTGTTCAAATATTAATTTTGGGTAAAAAATAGTTTTTCAGTTAGTCTGTGCTTTCATGGAGGATGAAATGATATAGGGAGCTGTGTGTGTGCTCCCCAAAAGCTTGGATGATTTATTTTGTGAGTGTAAATGTATTTTAAATATAAACTAGAGAGAGTAAGAGGTTGTGGGTGGCTTTTTTTCTATTATATTCAGGTTACCTGTAAGAAATTTTGTTAGAAAAGTCAAGAATAGCCTATCATTTAATCCATTATAAAAAGTTAATGTAACCCCATATAACATTCTTTCTTGGTAAGAAAAGATTATAATTTTTACTTAAAAAGATTATTTCCATAGCCCAGGAAAAAAAATGAGATAAAAATATAATAAATACATTCCAAACATTTTTTTTTCAAAGTATGAATAGAAATATTTTGAGCAATTTATAAACAATTAGCACATTTTAGAAGGGTGAAAAAGGTAATATACTGATTTTTTTAAATATATGAGGCTTTAATTTTTCTTGTTGTTTTGCTTATCCCTCTCTCTGGAAGTGTCATCTTCCCTGGTTTT